AAGTGTACATCACAGTCTAAGAAAGGTAGGTGGTTATCATTAACATCTTCTCTAGTGAACTTGATGTTCTTGTCCACTGAGTTGATGTGCTCAGTAAAAGCCTCCAGTTCTTGGGATTTGATCTTCACCCATGTGTCATCCACATATCTGAACCAGTGGCTTGGTGATGTACCCTTGTAAGAGTTCAGTGCCTTTTGCTCTACCCTTTCCATATACAGGTTTGCCACAATGGGGGATACTGGTGACCCCATAGCACAGCCATGCTTCTGTCTGTAAAAAGTACCGTTAAACTGGAAGTATGTGGTGTTAAGGCACAATTCCAGTAACTGGCAAATTTGTTCTGTATTGAGATTTGTTCTGTCCGGTAACGTTCTGTCCTGTGTAAGATGATGCCTCACCGTTTCCACTGCTTCCCCGGTTGGGATGCAAGTGAATAGGGATGTTACATCATATGATACCATGGTTTCATCCGGTTCTAGCCTTAGACCCTGGATTTTGCCTGCAAATTCGTGCGAGTTTTGTCACTATTTACTTCCGTGTTTGAAAATAAGGTGGATAGCATGTCGTCCAAAATCATGGAAAAAGCCATACACACACACACACACACACACACAGACAGTCTGGTTGTTTTGTTTCTGAGCTTTAATGTCATATGAAGTCGTTCAGTCACAGTTTCTGTGTTTTATTTTACAGACGTTAGAAACTCAAACTTCAGTCTGAAACTTTTGATCATTTCAAACTGTCTGAATTTAACAAACAACAAATTTAACCTTTGTTTTTAACCCTGACTAATAAAAGTTGTGATAAGTTGCACACGGTGACGTGTAACCTGACAGACACTCAGGATGGACGACGTCTGTCTGTGTGTCTCAGGTCCCGGTGCCGTTGAGGTCCGTCCTCTCCATGGTGTCTCTGATCCAGTTCAGGAAGTTCCCCAGTCGGGTATAAACTCCGTACTTCCCCTTGGCGGCACATTTCTCTCCCCAGCTGACCACACCCGTCAGAAACCAGGTCCCTTTGTAGTTCACCACAAACGGTCCCCCGCTGTCCCCGCTGCAGGCGTCCCTGCCCACGTCCAGGTAACCTGCACAGAACATGTTGTCTGTGATCACCTGTTGGACAGAGACACACGTCATGTCAGAGACACACGTCATGTCAGAGAGACACACGTCAGGTCAGAGACACACGTCAGGTCAGAGACACGTCATGTCAGAGACACACGTCAGGTCAGAGACACACGTCATGTCAGAGACACATGTCAAGACAGAGACACACGTCAGGTCAGAGACACACGTCAAGACAGAGACACACATCAGGTCAGAGACACACGTCATGTCAGAGACACATGTCAAGACAGAGACACACGTCAGGTCAGAGAGACATACGTCAGGTCAGAGACACACGTCATGTCAGAGACACACATCAGTTCAGAGACACACGTCAAGACAGAGACACACGTCAGGTCAGAGACACATGTCAAGACAGAGACACACGTCAGGTCAGAGACACACCTCATGTCAGAGACACACGTCAGGTCAGAGACACACGTCATGTCAGAGACACACATCATGTCAGAGACACACGTCAGGTCAGAGACACACGTCAGGTCAGAGACACACGTCAGGTCAGAGACACGTCATGTCAGAAACACACGTCAGGTCAGAGACACGTCATGTCAGAGACATACGTCAAGACAGAGACACACATCATGTCAGAGACACACATCATGTCAGAGACACACATCATGTCAGAGACACACGTCAGGTCAGAGACACACATCATGTCAGAGACACGTCATGTCAGAGAGACACACGTCAGGTCAGAGACACACGTCAAGACAGAGACACACGTCATGTCAGAGACACACGTCATGTCAGAGACACACATCATGTCAGAGACACACGTCAGGTCAGAGACACACGTCAGGTCAGAGACACACGTCAGGTCAGAGACACGTCATGTCAGAAACACACGTCAGGTCAGAGACACGTCATGTCAGAGACATACGTCAAGACAGAGACACACATCATGTCAGAGACACACATCATGTCAGAGACACACATCATGTCAGAGACACACGTCAGGTCAGAGACACACATCATGTCAGAGACACGTCATGTCAGAGAGACACACGTCAGGTCAGAGACACACGTCAAGACAGAGACACACGTCATGTCAGAGACACACGTCATGTCAGAGACACACATCATGTCAGAGACACACGTCAGGTCAGAGACACACGTCAGGTCAGAGACACACGTCAGGTCAGAGACACGTCATGTCAGAAACACACGTCAGGTCAGAGACACGTCATGTCAGAGACATACGTCAAGACAGAGACACACATCATGTCAGAGACACACATCATGTCAGAGACACACATCATGTCAGAGACACACGTCAGGTCAGAGACACACATCATGTCAGAGACACGTCATGTCAGAGAGACACACGTCAGGTCAGAGACACACGTCAAGACAGAGACACACGTCATGTCAGAGACACACATCATGTCAGAGACACACATCATGTCAGAGACACACATCATGTCAGAGACACACGTCAGGTCAGAGACACACATCATGTCAGAGACACGTCATGTCAGAGAGACACACGTCAGGTCAGAGACACACGTCAAGACAGAGACACACGTCATGTCAGAGACACACGTCAAGTCAGAGACACACATCATGTCAGAGACACACATCATGTCAGAGACACACATCATGTCAGAGACACACGTCAGGTCAGAGACACACATCATGTCAGAGACACGTCATGTCAGAGAGACACACGTCAGGTCAGAGACACACGTCAAGACAGAGACACACGTCATGTCAGAGACACACGTCATGTCAGAGACACACATCATGTCAGAGACACACATCATGTCAGAGACACACGTCAGGTCAGAGACACACGTCAGGTCAGAGACACACGTCATGCTGCAGATGTAGACACGTATGGATACTGAAGATCCAGCTACTGTACAGAGTGGATACTGGGTACCAGGGTTACAGTGGTTACCATGGTTACAGTGGACAGTGTACGAGCTATAAGAACGACCAAACATGGCTGAACAGGTCTCATCCCTCATCCTTGACTCTGTTCAGTGAACTCCGCCACCTGATCACCTGTTCAGTGGAGGCGGTGCAGTCTCGGTAGCTGACCACGGGAAGCGTGACCTTCCTGAGGAAGCGTGATGACCTGCCCAGGTACTGCGTGACCCCCCAGCCCGTCACCATGCCACGGTTTCCCTTCTGAACACACAGACACACAGTGTTAGCTCTCATCTCAGATCTGTGACTGTCAGCTCTCTGTGGCGTCAATACAGTTACCTTCAGTAGGTATTCGGAGAGATGGGGGTCGGGGAGGCAGGCAGGGATGGCGGTGGCGCTCCTGACGACCGGCTGGGCGAGATACAACAGAGCGATGTCGCTGTCGAAGGTGAAGGCATGGAAGTGAGGATGGACGAAGACCTTCTGAACCTTTATCAGCTGCTCACCTGGATCAGGACGCCGCTTATCGAAGTCACCTGTATACACACACACACACACACACACACACACACACACACTCACTACTCATGTGTTAATGTGAAGATAAACATAAAGCAGGAACGAACACACACACACACACACACACACACACACACACACACACTCAGGTGGTCACCTATAGTCACATGGTCTGGAGTCTCCTGGAGACAGTGAGCAGCAGAGACCACCCAGCGATCAGAGACCAGCGTCCCTCCACAGAAACCGTGACCATTAGACCTGCGGAGCAGAACCTGGAAACACACACACACACACACACACACACACACACACTGTGTTCATATGGAGCAGGGCGGAGCTGCAGACTCGTGATGACGCGTGAGTCATCACGACCACACACACCGCACACTGAACACATCAGTGTGAAAACATGAACAACAGCAGATTTAAATGTGTGAAATGACCTCATGTGAAATGTCTCCACACCTGCCAGGGACTTCCTCCTGGTCTGTCCAAGGCTCCGCCCACAATACGTAGATCCCCCCCGTCCTCCCCCATCAGCTCCGTCTCATTGGCTCCCCACTGTCCAGTTGTTGTGTTCACTGTCATCAGCTTCTCCAATGTCTCTATAAAGTTCAATTTGTCCACCCAGCCATCTGTGTTGTTGTCATCAAACATGCTGCCCATTTCCACGGTGATGTTGGGCTGATCAGAGGGACTCAACAGAGAACGATCTCGGTACAGTGACACCTCTATGTGCTGACGACCACAAGGCAGAGACACTAGAGGACAGGAAAAAAACACTGTCAGAAGACTGGGGGATCAGTAACATGAGTATAAATACAAAACAGTATCAATAACAGGAAAATAAATACACCAGAGTATCAACAACAGGAGTAAAAATACATCAGAGTGTCGACAACAGGAGTATCAGCACACCAGCGTATCAAAAACAGGAGTATGAATACATCAAAGTATCAAAAACAGGAGTATGAATACAGAGTATCAACAACAGGAGTATAAACACACCAGAGTATAAGTAACATGAATAAATACATCAGATTATCAATAACAAGAGTATAAATACATCAGAGTATCAGTAAAAGTGTCAGTTACTGTAGTAACCTGAGTTCTGTTACCGTTCTTGGAGCAGCTGTATCCGTCGACGTCCAGCTGGAACCCGTCGGCGCAGTCACACTGAACTCCGGCTCCCCCTGGCAGGTCTCTGCAGTACTGCATACAGCCGCCGTTTCTATAGTGACACACCATCAACACTACACACAAAATTCCTCTGTTATATACCGTCATGATTTTACCATGATTATACCATCATCATCATCATCATTATCATCATCATCATCATCATCATCATCGTCAGGATCAGTTCCAGTCTGTTTAATATCTTTTTCATGTCTTCAAATCTCTGATTCAGTTTTGGATGAAATCAGTGGCTCTGCTTTTAACTCCACTTCCTGTCACTGAGAATCATGTTATCTGCACTCTACTGATGATATCTGTTGGTACTCACTGCAAACGCACCTCCGTCAGGCTGATTGAACTGATTCTGATCAGCTGTTCTGTTTCTCACCTCAGAGATCAGGATCAGGATCAGGATTAGTCAACTCAGAGCCCAGGGGCCTGTATCACGAAGCAAGATCAACCTTTCCTGGGTTACCCAGACCTATCCTGGGTTGACTAACCCTAACAATGGCAATCAGGATAATCGGTATCACGACGCTGGATATCAACTCGGTAACTCAACCCAGAGTTGCTTTATCAAGAGCCGTGAACGCGCACGCAGCGGACCAATCACAATCATGAGAGAAGCGCAGCGTCACTGAGCGTCACTGAGCGTCCTCACAGAGCGCCGTATGTGAGGG